TTTTTCAGGTGAGAAAGGAACCGTTTAACACTGATGGTACTACCGAGAGTAGTACTCCTACTACTTTAAATACTTCTACTACTAATGGTACTGCTGAGCGTTTTAGTGTATACTGATACTGCCACCACCACTGTGCTGTTTCCGCTTGTGGTACTAATACACATAAATACACAAAGAAGCCAGAGAAAGAGAGGTACTATTGATTTGGCTAATAGTGTAAATACTACTATACTTGAACACATTCATACTAGTACTGCTACTACAAATACTGGTTGGTTTACTGCTGCCACAAATATTTCTTCTACTGTTTATACAACAAAAAAAATTACAAGTACAAGAATTATAAATTGGTACTACTACTGCTACTGTTGCCGTACTATTACAGTACTGGTACTTCTGCACATTGTACTACTATCACTGCAGCTGTGAGTAGTACTGCTAACACTACTGTTGTTCGTACTATTATACATATTTTTATTTGCCTAAAATAATGCGCTTAGGCTTTTTATTTTTTGTGTAGTCAAAATAAAAAAAGCTGTTTTATAATTTAAATTATTGTTCATGTGAGAAAGACGGAGATTTGGTTTAAAAATACAAATTTATATATATTATATATATTAGTGCTGGGCAAGTTAACGCGTTATTATCGCGTTAACGCATTAATTAATTAACGCCGACAATTATATTATCGCGCGTTAAGGCATTTTAAATTTTTTTTATTATTAAGCGACATTTTTAACACAAGAAACAGGCAGCAAGCAGTGAACAGCTGTGTTCGTGTGGCGTCACTTCCTTCTCCCCCCCGGGTCCAGAACCCCTCCTACACTCCGTCACCGTCCTTCACTCTTGTCTCACACACACACGCACACACACACACACGCACACACACACACACACACGCACGCACGCGCCATCGTCTCGTTACAGGTCAAACGTGACTGTTGTGAAGTGGAGCTTCTCGTGAGGAACAAGACACGTCTTGTTTGAACGGAACACTTTACTGTCTGAACTGCAGTATTACAGTGTTACAGTGAACACAACGCGCTCTTGCACCTGACATGTGGTTTTCTACGTTTCATCAACATTGTTAGCATCAAGAACACGTACAATTCTACTTCCTGTCTCTTCAAAGTAAAAGCACTTCCGTTTTCATGCTCTTCACAATAAAAGTAAATCATGCAATCAAACAATTTACAACAGTGACAATATTAAAATACATATTGTCGAGTTTTTAAAGTGTTTTGTTTGTAATATGTATAATAAGCATCATTTAGTTATCGCTACTGAGAATTTAACAAACAAAAACATGACGTAGATATGTTTGCAGTTTTCAAGGTGTATATTTAAATTGCATCTCTTATACACATGAAGATAAAGTTATGAACACAGGCTGAATATCTATGATCAGAATCATTATAACTGTGTTATAACTGCTACTGTGTAAAGGGAATACTGCTGTTAACAAGAACCTTATTTGTTTAAAGTGTTCAAACCAAATGTTATTGCCCTTTAGTTCATATAGCAGTACTTTCAAGATAACTGCGCAATACACTACTTTTGAATTCATTATTGAACTTTGCCATAACAATGCGATTAATCGCAATTAAATATTTTAATTGTTGCCCAGCACTAATATATATATATGTTTACTGTATATGGTGTTCCACAGGGATCAATACTTGGACCACCTTTGTTCCGTCTGCAATGGTTACAATGGTCACATCTTAAAAAAAAACATAGAAATATAAATTATAATTTATACGCAGATGACTCACAAATCTATCTTCCTGAAACTAGAGAACTTCATTACTACAATACAATCCTACATTCAACAGAAAATCTATATCCACTCATTCTGACTGTTATCAGCAGTTATTAAACTGCACCGACAATGTTATGAAATAACGGCCATTTAATCAGCTGATAACATTTGAAGCGGCTGCTATTTGTACATGTTATTCCAGATATTCCTTATATCAATATTAAAATGCAGAGGACACCACAAACTAATCCTATTGAGGTGGAAGCAGAATAAATTGAGTGAGGTAAGTGGAAAATGCCTTTTTCTTTTTCACTCCATTTAATTAATTTGGTAATTTTTCTGTTGTTGTTTGGTTTTAAAATGGTTTTAAATCAGTGCTGCTGCAGGTCTAGTTGTGACCACTGTTCCTCCGATGCTATTGCTAATGCAGCTTTCCTGAATTTATAAAATAATGTATGCACTCTTTAAAAATGTTGCCTAAACTACATCAAACCACGGTTTTTGGAGGATGCAGATGTTAAGATTGTTTCCACCAACTTGGAAAGATTTTTTCAGTAAAGAGCATAAACATTGCGACTAAGTAAATCCAACTTTAGCCAAAAGCTTGTTGGCATTTTTTACCCTGATTGTGTATTTTGCTGGTTTGGGACATCCTCCAGAAAGACCCTCTAACCCTGCAGTACAAACAGGCCCCTGAACACACCGCACAGTCTGTTATTGACCAAACTGTAATGAGCACACTCAGCCCTATAAGGTGTGCAGAGACCAGCCACTTCAACATAAACACCTCCAGCCCACAGTCGTGCTTTGGATTCTTTTCCTTTGAGCCGTGAAACCGGTATCGTCAGACCAAACTGTTGGGTTCAGAAAACACACCCACTAGTTTCCTATAACACACAGTGAGTAAAGCTGTCAGGATGTGTTATGGCACAACTGATACTGGATAAATGAATCACTGCTGATGAGAGTAATTCTACAGGTTATAGATGCACACAAAGAATAGAAGAACTTGGATTTTACAGTGAACATAATTTGATGGGTTTTAGTTTTAAAACCTGCAATAACAAAAATGAAGTTGATATGTTGATCCTTATTTCCACATGTAGCAGTTACAGATCGACATGTTTTATTCTGAGTGTTGAGTCACCTGATGAATATAAGTCCAATGTTTTCTCTGTTTTAGATCTGCTTTTGGTCTCCACCACCTCCTGAGATAAACATCTGTCTCTTTAGCTGCTAAATGATCCACTTTGTTCACCAGCTGGTCTCCAACTGAATCTGTCTGCTGTTTGCTGCTGAGCAGGTAAAGTACTGTGTACTACAGGTAGTGTACGGTGTACTTTTACAGGTACTTGAGCAGGTGTACAGTGACTTTTTGCAGCTTATTCTTTGACAAAACAACAATATGAAAGAGGTGGGAGTGAATCAAACCACCTCTAAATATTAATAAAATGTTTTCTACAACAGAAAATCCTGTTTATTTTGACAGGATTTTCTATACTGTAGTTTTTGCCATTTTCCTCTGAATAACATTTAAAAAATACTCTAATTCAACAGTCGAGAAGGGGATAATCAAAGTAGATGTTGCTATGTGGTAAGGGGACATTATTCTTCATTATCTTCCTCCAATATCAACTTCAGGTGTTTTTACTTTCCTTATTGTGATAATTTTGTTGCATTAAGTCTGTAAATACACATATGTTTGAATAGAAGCTGACCATAGAAGGTGATGATAAGTCAGTTGTGTTTACAGCTTGTTTTGGCCCCCAAGCGGCCGATTAGCAGCTTTAAGGAGCTGAGTTCTAGTCTACATGATGTGATACAGCTTCAGATATACAAACTGTGCTCGGGATCAGTTGCCCACTGGTGTTGCCTCTCAATAAAACCACAAACCACCAATCAAGCCCCTCCCACCCACAGCCTCACCACCCTCATGTAAACACACCACCGCATGATGAGATCAGGTTAGCTTGTTGATTCTCGGGTCTTGTTTACATGTTCCTGTGTTTACACTCCAGCCAGAATGCATGTGAACATAAATAACCCACAGATGTAAACCGGAGGTGCAAACGAGATCCAGGAGGTTTAGAGGGGTCGGGGCTCCGGATCTGGAGGTTTGGCCTGAAGTCTTCATGGTGTTTTTATATCAACAAAGAGCAGAAAAGTCCAGGAAGTTTAAGGTCTGCTGATTTATTTCTTCATAGTTCAGACTTAAACCAGCAGTGAATGTTTCCTGATATAACTTCTTCCTCTTGGAGCTCTATTAAAAATGCATCAGTGAGCCTCATGTTCCTTCATCATCATCATCATCATCACACTGTAGTCTATTCTGATTTAATCACACATACAAATACTCACTAGAGGATCATCATCCACTGACAATAGTCCCAATAAATGCTGTATATTTGAGTATTCCTAGTATTTCACGACCTGGGAATGGCTAAAAATCTACGTTTCGTTCTCTTTTGCGGCACCATGTTGTGACTTCCAAATCAAAACAAGTTGCTTCGCTTTTCTGACTGCTTGTCCTTCTTCTTAACCTGTTTTTTCTTTGGACTTGTTTTTGTATTTAATCCACTCAAACAACACTCTGTCACCTTATTAAGTGATAGACAGTGACTTAAATCTGACACTGAGAGAACACCGCTCTCTGCTGGTGTATCCAGGCACAGCAGCCGTGGAGGTAAGCGCCAAGTGGTTTAGAGATTAAAAAAAGACAAATATTCATAATAATATCATAACAAGATCAAAAATATTAAGGTTCACTCTCCTTTATGTGTATTCTAAATGCTGTAATTGGTTAATGTGAATGAATACAACTTACTTCACTGTATTTATCATATTGTTAATAATATTAATAATCATCATCATTAGTTGTTTTGTGTTCTGGTTAACTTTAAAACATGCAGAAAAACAAGAGAATATTTTACAAAATACATTTTTGAAACAAAATAAGATCGACGAAGCAGAAAAGACGGGTCATGTTTATTATTATTATTATTTATTATTTCAAAACGTTTCACTCTTGTAACTCAAAGACAATAAACATACATTAGATACGTTATTCATTAGGATGAAATATTATATATGTCATATTCACACTGTCACCATCAGGTCCAAACAGAAAGTTTTTTTTACATTTTCTGACTTTTAGCGTCACAGGTTTGTTCTTTACTGTTAATATAATAATATATACATATTAATATATGCACACTTTATGTCTTACATTAGAGGCATTTTGACTTTTATCTTTTAATCACAAAATAAGTACAACATCAAGCAGTAAGCTGCTGGTGGAGCTCGTTTAAAGGTGTATAACACGTGATTTGGGAGTATTTCTGTTGTCTCTCAACGGCTCTCATCATGGCGGCGCGGCTTGTAGCTAACCTGGGGGGGAGGGGTGCTACGTTTCCAAGGCAACGCTGTCATTCTGGACGCCGTTATCGGCTGTAATGCTCACATGCACTAACATACACTAAAATGCCCGCTCACATGCACTAAAAGGCACATGATCTGAATGTCTTAGATTGCTGCTTTAAATATAACTCCACAAAGACTGAATATATTGTATATTACGTTCTTTCTTGGTCACAAATAGACGGTTTTGTTCTACAATCCTTCTCTGAGGAAATAAAGCACATCTTTCTAATTAATACCTCGTGAAGATGGTGTTTTCCTCACCAGCAGCTATAGATTTTTATTATAACTCACCAATTTAAATTATATTAAGGCTGAACGTTGGTCATGATTAGGTCACCTGGCCACCTCACTTAGAGCCTAACTTCCTGGTTAGCTACGTGCTAATCGACAGTGAACACGTTTAGCACTAACGGCTAAATGATTTACAGGGAAAAAATGAGGAGAGAAATGTAAAACTGTTGAGTTTGGCGGCTGCCTCAAGGACTTGTGGGTAATCGGAAGGAAGTGTCGGTTGCCTTGGTAACAGGAAGAGGAGGAACCAGTTCCACCTTAGAACTAATAAAAAAAATTTAATCTTGATTGAAATGAAAACAATCGATTGATGACATCACTGACGGAAACATTTGATTGGAACCTACTGGAGGTCTGAAGCCGACACCCACCGACCATGTTGCTGCCCCCTTGGAGAACGGCGGGTTCTGATTGGCTCCCCCAAAACTCTGTAGGGCACAAACAAAAGTTTCCTTAATTCCTTCCTTACTTCCTTTCCTCCTTCCCTCTTTCTGTTCCTCCTTCCTTACCTCACTTCCTTATTAGGTATTTCCTCCGTTTGTCTGTCAATCAAATCGTCGGGCTCTGTCAGTTGCTTCCTACACACACACACACACACACACACACACACACACAAACACAGTATTAGATACAAATTTAATTAAAAGTTATTTCTTGTGGCTCTAGTAGTATTTGTACTAAAACTTACACCAACTTTCTTCTTTTCTTTGTTTATATTTTGAAAATATATTATGCAGCCTTTTTCAGTTTTTATACTGTTTATATTTTTATTGATTTACAGGGAAATTTACTAAATACATATTTCATAACAATTAAAAGGAAGTAATGCAAAAACGTATTGATAAAAAAATACATATTAGATAAATATTTGATAAAGATAAATAAATAGAAAAATGAATAACTGAATTAATGCACATGTATTAGTATTTTACCTTTTTCCATCTACATGTATTTATTTGTGTTTCTACATTTAGACTTATATATTTATGTATTTATGTATTTATGTGTCTGAGGTTGTTGTTATTAACTTATCTGTAAAGCGAGATTTGTTTTGATTACTTTCACCAACCTGTAAAAATAAATGTAAATGTAAATGTAAAAATTAATAAATACATTTTGATCTTATATCAACAAAAGGGAAATTACAGTGATAACCAAATCACATAAAACATAAAAACCAAGAAAAAGAAAAGAACAAAATACAATAATGATAAATAAGTCCAATATATTACAAATTAATTAATTTAATTAAGTAAAGTAAAAGCTGAAAATATGACCTTAAAAACATGCATTTATTTTCTAATAAGTTACCAACATTATAATTACCTGATTTATTTCAGGTGTCATGTTTATTGTTTATTATTTGTTTCAGCATTTATTTATGTATTCATGAATGTTTTGAGGGAAAAGTCCTTTTTTTATCACTGCAGTAACCAATCACAGAAATCTATCAGACACTGCAGCTGCAATACTGCAGAGTTTCCTGTAGGGGGCAGCAGAGATGATCTTTTACTGTATTTATGGGGACTTTTTCTGAAACTACAGATCATTCATTAGAGCCACAGGAGCTTAGCTTAGCAACCTAGCATGTTTTATTATTTAGGAAAGACAGAAGGTCCTCACAAGTAAAAATGTCCTCATAAAGCAGGTGGACATACACACCCACACACACACACACTTACTGGATGTGTTTCTATGTAACAGAGTCGGGACTCCGTCTATAAAGAAGAGATAGCATGAATGCTAAATTAATTTCAATGGCCTTAAAACAGTTGTTAGCTTTAGCACTAATGTTTCATATGGTAAAACTGATAGCATTAGCATTAGCATTAGCGGTCCACTTCACCAAATCATAGCATTAACCTAAACGTTGTCAAATAGCAGTAGCGTTAGCGTTAGCACTGATCGGCTAACAGATGTGTTTGTTTACTTACGATCTGGAATCCCGCCTCCGGTCACCATGGCGATCGCTAGGTGACAACAGGAAGTAGATCAGAGAGACAGCGACTAAACGAACAAATACGGACATTAAAGAGGTGTGTATTTTTATTACCGGTTCTTTTTTCTTCTTCTGCGTTCTTCTCCTTGACTTGTGGTGTTCTGTGATTCGCTGCCGCTGCTCGTGTTGCCACGGGAACGAGACCTGGTGATCACATTTTTACAAAGAACGGAAAAAATCATGTTTTCCCAAACTTTTCGAAAACTTCGAAAACTGAACTTAAAAGACATTGAAACCTGTGAAATGTCTTTACTTTCTAATATTATATCATAACAAAATATATAAAAAAGAATTCAAAAATTAATTGTTGTACTGTTTATGTTATTGATTTACAGGGAAATGTACTAAATAAATATTTAATAACAATTAAAAGGAAGTAATACAAGGAACTTATTGATAAAAAAAACATTATATTAGATAAATATTTGATAAAAATAAATAAATAGAAAAATGAACAACTGAATCAATACACATTTATTAGTATAACAAAATATAAAAAAATAATAATTAAAGCTGATTTAAGAAGTTTTTTTCATTTTTATCATCGATTTTACAAGGTTCACACTTGCCAAAAAAAATATTTTGTTTGTCATGAAACTTAAAAGTTAGTTACTTTACTGAAAGATATATTAAATATCTCACCTCCCCCCCCTCCGCCAGATTGGTCGATCTCCGTCCAGACTTCTGCTCCGCCTACAAGACGAAACAGGAAACGTGTCATTCATTCGTTACTGTTTTCACCTTGTGACGTAGAGACACCGTATACGTCTCTGGTAGAGACCTGTCAATCACTGTGTAGCCCCGCCCTAAAGCATCCCCTGCCTTTAAATCTCCTTTTCTTTTGCCTTGTGTTTTGATGCTTTTAATGGTTTTATGTGAAGCACTTTGAATTACCTTGTTGTTGAAATGTGCTCTACAAATAAACTTGCCTTGCCTTGCCTTATGGTCTGTTTGACTCTAAATGGACCATAATGTACTAAATGAACATCATGCTGTATTGAAGAAGACTTGAAACTAGAGATTGAGACCATAAACTCATGTTTACAATGTTTACTGAGGTAATAAATCAAGAGAGAAGTAGAGTCATTTTCTCATAGACTTCTATGTTTCTTACCTCTGAGGTCGTTCTCCACCTTCTTCTTCTTCTTTGGTGTTTGGTGGAAATTTTGGGTTGAAGAGGCCGCTGGAACCAAATTATATTTCCGGATTAATCCGATTATCTACCAGATTAAATGAGGAGATATATTCTGTTATTCTGTGATGTCACCAGGTGCATTGACAGAGTTAGACAATAAAATCTTTATGCTTCTACAAATTTTATTATTTCTACTCGTTTACCTCTGAGGACCACTGTTTTCCCATGGTGCACTGGGCTTCACGTGAGCCCGCTCTGCCCCGCCCTCTGACCTGCAGGAGTCAATGATCACATGACATCTAAAATGTTTTTAATCCAAACAAGTCTCTCTCTCTGTCACTTTCTCTGTCTCGCTCTCTCACCTCTGAACAGCAGGGGGCGCTGTCTGCATAGTCATTGGTTCATTGGGGGCACTCGCTATCTGATTGGCTGGAGGAGAGGAGGCGGAGACTGTGAAATTCACAAACACCAATTTTAGAATAAAGAAAATAGGAAAGTAATACATGAAACAATTTTCAATTAGTATGAAATGTTTTACAGTCCTCAGCTTTGACCAATCACCTCTTTGATTTAATATCAGTCTGACAACATTTCTGTTGAACAACTTGAGTTATTAATATGTGAGAGTCAACACATCAATTCATTGATAATTGCAGAAAGTGACGATATTTGCTCCTTTTATTGTATGTGAATGTTTGAATGACCCTGAGATAATAATAGTAATAATAATAACAACAATAACAATAGTAATAATAATAAGGATAATAATGATATAACAATAATAATGGTAATAAAATAATAATAGTAATGCTAACAGTAACAATACTAGTAATAATAATAATACTAATAATTCAAAAGTGTGCATACTGTGACGTTTTGGCCTCCGATCTGTTGTTGTTGTCTTGTTGTTCATAGTTTTGTTTCTCAGAAGCCCAACGTTCAGTCGAGGAAGAGTCAGAGTGGGCGAACGAGCAAAACTACACAAGAGAGAGAGAATGAATCTGTGTGTTTACAGTGTTTTTAATCGAAAATAAAACATTTAATTAAAAGATCTTTTATGAACTTTTGTATTTCATAAACAATGATAAGTAATAAGGTTGTGTGTCTCTGTAAGTGTGTGTGTGTGTGTGTGTGTGTGTGTGTGTACCTGTTGTGTTTCAGTTTGCATGTTAATGGATTGGACTCTGACATCCTGAACAAAATAAAAAAGTGAGTCAGTGAGAGAAAATAAAAATTTTCTGAAGGCTCCTCATAAACCAAAACAAAATAAATCTTTATTGACGTCACCTGAAGAACGCGTGATGTTCAACACAACATCTCCAGAGACGTTTACAGTCGGATCGATGCGACATCTGAAAGTAGAACGACGTCTCTGAACCCTGAAACATACACACACACACATACACACACACACACACACACACACACATGTACACACTCAAACACACACACACAGAGACACACAAAGACGTAGCATTAGCATTGTACAGCTACAGACTGGTATCAAGCCAAAAAGCATTAGCATTAGCATTAGCATCAGAACTCACATTTTTTCCAACGATTCTGAGCTCAAATGTTTCGTTCTTAAAGTGAAGTTTGTTGATTCTCTGCCTGAAGAAAAGAGTCACACGTCACATGATAAGAGCAAAAACAACACTTATTTATCTTGTGTATTCATATTTATACAAATATTTGTTTATGTTGTGTATATATTTAAAACACTCTTTCTTTCTTTTAGTTTTATATTAACAAAAATATTTATGTTAACATAAACTAGTGATTCATATTTATACACACTTATTATTGTTATGTTTTTTTACAAACTTTTGTTTGTTTATTTATGTTTTTCATATTGTTTATTCATCTTTTATACATTTGTTTGTTGATTATTCATATACATACAGATATGTCTTTACGTTATTTATTTATTTTATATTTGTGTTTTATTTAAATCCATACTATGATTCATATGTTTACAAATGTATTTTTGTTTTTATATATACATATATTTTTACAAACCTTTATTCATGTTTATTTATCTTTATGCAAATATATATACGTTGTTAATCTTTAATTATTCAAGCACTGTTTATTTATAGAAACGTGTGTTTACTTTGTTTTTATTCCATCCATCCATCTTCCTCCTCTTATCCGGGGTCGGGTCGCGGTGGCAGCAGGCCAAGCAGGCCGACCCAGACCTCCCTCTCACCGGCAACATGTTCCAGCTCATTCTGGGGGATCCCGAGGCGTTCCCAGGCCAGCTGGGAGATGTAATCCCTCCAGCGTGTTCTGGGTCTTCCCCGGGGTCTCTTCCCAGTTGGACGTGCCTGGAACCCTCCAGTGGGAGGCGTCCAGGAGGCATCCTAATTAGATGCCGAACCACCTCAGCTGACTCCTTTCTACGTGAAGGAGTAGCGGCTCTACTCCAAGCTCCCTCCTGATGACCGAGCTCCTTACCCTATCTCTAAGGCTGAGCCCGGCCACCCTACGGAGGAAGCTCATATCGGCCGCTTGTAGCCGCGACCTTGTCCTTTCGGTCATGACCCAGAGTTCGTGACCATAGGTGAGGGTAGGAACGTAGACCGAGTGGTAAATTGAGAGCTTTGCCTTCCGGCTCAGCTCCCTCTTCACCAAGACGGTCCGGTGCAGCGCCTGCTTTACTGCTGCAGCCGCACCGATCCGTCTGTCGATCTCCCGCTCCATCTTACCCTCACTCGTGAACAAGACCCCGAGATACTTGAACTCCTTCGCTTGAGGTAGGCACTCCGTCCCCACCTGGAGGGAGCAATCCACCGGTTTCCGGCAGAGAACCATGGCCTCAGATGTGGAGGTGCTAACTCTCATCCCCGCCGCTTCACACTCGGCTGCAAACCGCCCCAG